TCTCTTCTCTCTTCTCTCTTCTCTCTTCTCTCTTCTCTCTTCTCTCTCTCTTTCCCTTGAGGAAAGCAATTGCCCAACCACTGATCTACGTCCAGTTTCCCCACCTCTAAAGGGAGGTAACTGACATCTGCCCCATAAGATTCTGAGGAAGAGCTAATGAAATCACAGACATCAAAAGCCTGATATTGGCCTTAGATATCACAGACAGTGTCTCCTTGATAGACTCTCTGAATTTCAGGGCATGTAATGGGTTGAAGACCCAGTAGTGAGAACAGATTGTCAGAAAATTCACAGAGCATACACTCCAGTTTCAAACTGTGGCAAATGCCAAGATGGAAAATTTGGGCATTAGTCAAAGTGTGCATCAGATAGCTCTTCTATAGATGGGCATCATGGCTCCCTCTAGGAAGTGCTAAAACTGAACACCACTGCAAATTAGGTAAGAAGAAGGTTTTCTAAGAGAGCATAATGAATTCAAAAGACAAAAAAAAAAAAAACCTTAGTTCAACATGGTAGTGCACACCTGTAGTTCCAGATACTGGGGACACAGAGGCAGCAGGATCCCTTAGGCCCAAGAGTTAGCAACCAGCCTGGACAACAGAGTGAAATCCTAACTCAAAACCAAATAAACATACCAGCAAGTAGACTCAGTGAAGGCATGGCAGTTTAGATTAAGGCCAATGAGACAGCTCAGCCGCAGATAAAAGTATTTGCTGCTAACTCTGATGGCTTACATTTGATTCCCAGGAGCCTTACAAAGCAAATGGATAAGAATACAATAAAATGTTTGAAAACAGAAAACATGCATTGGATCCCAAACATTGTCACTGCTTCATGAGGGCACTAGCCTAGCTCTCACCTTCTCCCTCCTGGCGACTATAGCATCCTTCGCTTTGCCCTGCCTCTGGCTCAGCCCCTATAATTCATACAAATACGGCACTTCCCTAAGTCACCAGACATTTGCCTTCCTCACAACCTCCCTTTCCAGACAGCTTCCCCTAAACAATCTACTGAGATGGCAACTTCATTTTCCTTCCAAGGCCCTCCTGTCTCAAGTACTACTTTATGTGTCCACTGGGCTTTGTTACTATCTGATTTGTCATACATATTTTTACTGATCTTGATCATTTGCTGTTATCCTTGCAATAGTGCATGAATAGTAAATTGGATCTTTTGTCTGTTTTATTCACTATAGTAAGTGCACTGCGAACAGCTCCTGGCATGCTGTAGGTGCTCACTATGAATTTGCTGAGTTACAGAAGTAACCGGAAGGAGAGCATATATCAGTCACTGAAAGAAGGTCCATATGGCTAAAGTTCAGAGTGTCAGAGAAAAGGTGGTGCAGGATGAGCTTCCCAGACAGGTAGAGAGGCAGGCCACAGGAGACTTAGCAGAACACACTGAGGGCTCCATTTCACACTAACGGGTGCTATTCAGTCCTTTCACCTGGCATGGACTCAACAGATTAGGTTTCCCAGGTGGTACTTGTGGATGGTAGCCTGAAAAAATCTAGAAGCAACAAGGAAGGAGAACACAGGAAGCTGCAGGCCAGGGGTGGCTAGAAAGAAACCTTGGTAATCGACTGGGCAATAAAGGTAAAGATACATGGACTTGCTGGAGATACAGCTAAGAGGTAAACAGAAGCAGAACTTAGAACAGGTTAGACAACAAACTACAGAAGCATCTAGGATAACTCTCTTATCTCAGGATTAAGCAACTGGACAAGTGACAGTACTAACTGAACACCTAGAAACATCAGAGAGAAGTGAGTTAGGTTTGAGGATGAAGTAGGAAATTCACAGGATCACTTTGGGTCTTGCTAACTTCAAGCAATTTCGTGCCACTCAAGAAGAGATGTCGACATAATTCATTACGCTGGGTCTAGGATGTGAGGGACCAGGAATGTGGGAATGGACGAATTCAATTCCTCTTGACACGATGTACCTCAAGAACCATAGTGTTACGGGAAGCAGCAGTGGCAGCAAGGCAAAACCAGCACCCAGCAGCGTCTGGTATCTCTGGTAGAAGCTGAGTTAGATCAGAGTAGGCCAGAATAGTAGGAAGTAAAGAGAAGGGCACACTCCCTGTAGATGTGCTGAGAAGTCTGACAGTGGAAAGCTGCCTATGGGAAAACCTGGAGCTGGAAGGGAAGGGAGTGAAAAGATGGCAGCGAGGCACCTTCCTTGTGGGAGTGTCCGCTTCTAATTTCATGTCCTTTTTCCTTTATATCTCAAATGTATCCCTCATCAGTCCCCTATTTTAAGTAAAACATTAAAAATTTTAAAATGAGGGAACGGTGCTTTCCAAGATATAACCCCCAACCTGTCTTCCTGATTTTCAGTGCCAGTCCCATCCCTGGGAGTTGTTAGTTCTGAAGGAAACCCTGTTCTTGCAGGCTCTCCTGAACTCATCTCTATCAGTGAGTGCTGTTTTTACTCAGGCCATATCACTGGCACACAAGAGTCTCAATAGCATAGAATAAGATAAAATGCATACTTAGTCCTTGCTACTTATTCTGCAACTATCAAAACCACTAAGTTTTAGAGGTATTATGACAAAGCAGAATGAAATGTTAATTAAATAAAACAAACAAACATGCACTAAAGGGGCTAATAAGATGATTTAGTGGGTAAATGCACTTACCACCAAGCCTGACAATGTGAGTTCAATTCCCAGAAATCATATAGCAGGTCTGACCTCTATATGCAGGCTTCTGCACCCACTCCATATAAATAAAGTAAATATTGAAAAACTTAAATGCATTAAAGAAAAGTCTTACATTTTAAAATAAATGTGAAGTATGATCCCTTTGCAAAAGGGGTAACTTTTAAATCTAACATAGTGTGTCCACTGGGTGGTAAGATAATATTCACTTCTATACTATTTTAATGTTTTCTAACATTCTGAAAACTAACATGTAACTCTTACAAATTAAGGATGAGTAATATTTGAAACCACAGGGGTTAGTAAGAGTATATTTATAAATTAAAAGTATGTCCTCAAATATAGATGCAGGATCCACGGGGGCTGTAAACACTGTGCTTGTGCTCACAGGGGCCACTACTCTGCTGTGTTTTATCTAATTGGCCAGTACCATTCTGCTTTCTCAGCCATATTCAACATTTGCTCCGAGGAAACCATCTTTTTTTAACCCTGGTATTCAACTGCCTCATAGTATAAGTCTAATCCAGTTATGACTCAGGACACATTGAGAATCCATGGACCAAGGACCATACACAGATGTGACTGAAACAGCCACATGGTCTAAATGTGGTGATGACCAGTCTTTCCAAAGTTGGTATAAGGAAGGAAAGGCTCCTGTCTCTTGAGATGGTACAAATGGTATCATCGGTCTCTTCCAACTTAGATCAATGGTTCTCAACCTTCCTAATGCTATGGACCCTTTAATACAATTCCTCATGTTGTGGTGATTCTCAACAGTAAAATTATTTTTGTACCTACTTTATAATTATAATTTTGAAATCGTTATGCATTGTATGGTAAATTTCTTTGGGGTTTTATGATCCTGTGGGAGTCTCCACCCACAGGTTTTGAACTGTGCCTTAAATGATCTAGGTGCTGCTGCTGCTGAAAGTGGGGACGGGCTCAGAAGTAGCAGAAATTTCTAACTAGTGTCACCATACGAGAAATAATTGAAAGATAACACAAGCTAAGGAATTTGGGAGAAGTTTTATGCAGACAGAGAGTGAAGGATTCTAAGTTACAATCCTTTAATTTTAGGTAGCTGAACTTATAGGTGAGCTTTAAAGAAGGGAGGATTATTCAGGCATGAGAAGAGGGCCTGACTTTCCCATAGAGTAGGCTTTACTACCACTGTCGGTCCTTATCTGGAATATTGAGATTGAAACAGACAATTCTGCCAGACTAATGATACAGAAGTGCCATTACAGTGAAACAAAGGACAGTTAACAAAGGACTGGGTTAGCTGTGATGGTCACAGATGTGTTTGTTTGTTTGTTTGTTTTTAATGTCTGAGCAGCCACACAATGTCTTGTCTTGCTGTAACATAGCTCTATGATTACATCATCTGCTAAAAAGTTTGTCTCACCCCCCCACACACACAAAAATTTTTTCTTTAGAATATGATAGGACAGTAGTCACCTCAAGAGAGAAAAGTCATCTCTATATACTAATACGGAAAGCCAGAAGGAAGGCTAATTGAGAAATAGCTTGAGTTCAGGGACAAGGTAAGTTAAAGCTGACCCCCACCACACAATTTTCTTGCTCCATCCGTGAGATGTTCATTAGAAGGATAATGGGTTTTAAGTTGATGTGAAATTATACAGTTTTAAGGACCTTGACTTGATCTTTGTGAATTGTCTGATTTTGGGTGTCTATAAACTCAGACCGTCTTACCCCCTACTTAGACTGTGTTAGGAGAAGGGAGTAATCCTTATTCTTAATTAATTCTCAATTATTCTTCCTTCTGGCTTACCTTATTAGTAAAGAGATGACCTCTCTCTCTCTTGACATGACTACTGTCCCATCATATTCTAAAGAAAGGTGACTGTGTGTCCTAGTATAATCTCTGTTGCTATGAAAAACACCATGACCAAGAGCAACGTGGAGAGGAAGGGGTTTATTTCAGGTTACAGGTTACAGACTATCACTGAAGGAGGCCAGAGCGAGGGCCTGAAGAAAACACCACAGAGGAGAGCTGCTTTTTAGGTTGTTGCAGGCTCACACTCAGCTACCTTTCCTATACAGTTCATGTCCCACCTGCCTAGGTGTCTCACAGTGGTCTGGGACCCCCTCTATCAATTCGCAATTAGAACATGTCTCATGAGCATAGTCACAGAGCAATCTGATCTAGGCAATTCTTCAGTTGAGGCCCCTTCTTCTCAGGTGACTGTAGCGTCATGTCAAATCCACAGCTGAAACTAATTCCACCACTGTGCTTCCCCCTTGAAAATCTGAATAAGGACTACTCTCCTCTCCTAACACAGTCTAAGTAGGGGGTAAGATGGTCTGAGTTTATCGACACCCAAAATCCGTATAGAGCATGTCAGACAATTCACAAAGATCAAGTCAAGGTCCTTAAAACTATAATTTCACATCAACCCAAAACCCATTATCCTTCTAATGAACATCTCATGGATGGAGGAAGAAAATTGTGTGGTGGGGGTCAGCTTTAACTTACCTTGTCCCTGAACTCAAGCTATTTCTCAATTGCCTTCCCTCATAGGTATGCACAGGCCAAGTCTAAAGTACTAAGTGCTCTAAGAGAGTGTGGAGGGCAGGGCTCTCAGCCAGCAGAGGAAATGATTCTACTGGAGCAGGTAGTGAAAGCTTCCTGTAAGGCCTTGAAGGATCTGGAAAGGAATTCCAGACAGAAGAGTATCAGGAGCAAAGACACTAACTGCTGTGCATGGTGTCATCAACAAAGTGGCACAACTCTAACTACCACCAGGCCCTGGAGCTCTTGGTGGGGTAGTAAGAAAGGGAGTGGCTCTAGATTCTTAAGTCCTTTATTAGAAATTTAAATGTTAACTCTATTTAAAAATATGAGGGCTCATCGCCGACCAATGTTTTCTATTAAAAACCTTGCCTTGGCTGTGGGAAATGGAGGGAAGTAGAAAAACAGCAAAAACCTACCTCCTCTGCCTTTGTTTATACTGCATACCCCACTCCCCCTCAACAAACTGTTCTCCTCTGCTACAGGGAGTGTCTGAAATGTATGATCAAAAAAAAAAATAGAAGAAAAATAAGAGAACTGAAAGATTACCCATTCTTTAAGTAAAATCTACTCAACATCCCTTCTGTCTCCTCCCCTCACGTTCAGACCCTGTGCCTGGCCCTGCTTTCCAGCTGTGGCTGTTCCCATGTACCCAGGAATGTTTCACACTATTGTTTGACTGCCACAGCTTTATCTCTTCTCGTGCTAATTACAGGGTAATCATTGAACAGCAAAAGGCACTTTATCTAGTCTTATAGACAAGGTGAATTATGAACTTGACCCAGAAAATCTACCTGTCCTCAGCTCTCTGCTTCCTTAGTAGCTTCAAGGGCCTAAATTCAATGACCGTGGTTTAAACACGAGGTGTTGAATATCAAATGTCCAACTTATTGAAAACACTGGGTTACTCTCCACCTCTGTGTTTATCTCCATCTGTTTCATTTATGGCAAACTAATAATGAACACTAGGAATGGTGTATTTCATGCCCAGCCAGGTCCCGCTTTATTATGTTACCCAGCCATCTGTGACCCTTCATTAGAGAGCCATTTGGGAATCCAGCCTGGAATCACTGCTGAACACTCAACGATAACGGCCACATTGAAACCTTACTGTGGCTTTGAGAGCCTTGCTGCTTCTCAGACAGCTAGTTCATTTTCATTTAACATAAAACTAAAATGGCCAAGCACTAGTTCTACCTACAAGATAAACTCCCTGGGCAATAATTGAGACAATTTAGGGATATGCGGAGATTAAACAAAGGATGGTGCTGCTACAATTGTCTACACACAGAGACACAGACACACATGTGTGCACAAACATGTGAATTAAGACCTTCCATTAGAACAGCATGACCTAAAACACTATCAGAATTCTGCCTTGTAGTGGACCACCAACTAATGGCATTTCTATGTCTTTTTTTTTCAGGTTGCACACAGCATAGAATCATGACAAGTGCCGATTGTTTTTTATTTTAAGGGAAGGGGTTCTTTTTTTTTTTTTTTTTTTTAAATTAAGCTGGTTACTGAGGCATAACAAGCAGGCTCTGGTAAAGCAACGGGCTCACAGAGCTGTCTGTCTAGTGCAGTTCAGTCCTCCCGATTCTCGGTGCCTTTGTCTTGCCTAATTGATATGTCATCCTGTTAATTTCCTGATGTTGAGGACTGCAGCCCTACATGATGGGAAACGCTCATTTGCAACCAGGAACTGATTTCAATTTTAGCACGGCTCACACAACTAAAAGCCCACCTGTCTGAGGGCGAGTCAATAACAGAACTGCAGGAGCAACACAGTTCCTCCAGACTGTTATTCTCCATGCACAATAGCCATAAAAGTGAATATTTAGCAAGGTGGCCTCTATCAGCAAAATCAAATTAAACAAGCCTTCTTTCCTGGTTCCACTCACCAGTGTTTGAGAAGAGGGCTGTTGCTTTAATTAACTTCCTTTTTTTCCTTCCATACCCCTGAAAGCCAGGGCCCTGATTTCGCACAAGCTGGAGGTCCTAACTTGGCTATGGGGAACCCTGGTCTATGGGCTCTAGGGACCAGGAATGGGGTTGCCTCCCGCCAAAGACAACGGTTCCCATAGAGGTTTGGGAAGCTGTAAGGGGACCAGATGGAGACAGCTGGATGCCCACACTGAGCCAAGATTTTCATACCCCGCATTAATTCTCCGAGGCAACATCTATAACCCATACTCGGTGACAGTCCTTCCTGCCCAGGGGCCCTGAGGAGCGTGGGATTCAGGAGCAGGTGTTCCTGCGCACCCCCTCAGCTCCTGCGCATCGCTCTCGCTTACCCAGGGCCCAGGTGCAGCTCTCTTTGATGGCTTTGTATTTGCTCCCGGACGCGTCTCTCTGCAGCTTCCTCAGGATCTCTTCCATCTTGGCCTTCCCAGAGCCAGGCCACCGACCCCGAGATCGCGCAGGGGAAGCGCCTAGGAGGCCTCGACACTCGTCCCCATCGCTATCGGCGGCCGCTGATGAATCACGCCCGCTCCACGCCACGGGCCACGTCAGCCCCGCCGTCACGCCTGTTGCCACGCCCGCCGAGTCAGGAGCGCTCACTAGCCAGGGAACTAGGGGGTGGGGGGTGGGGGTGGGGGGTGGGGGTGAGGGGCTGGCTGCCTACCTAGCACCGAAGAGAACCTGGGGTACCAGGCTCCATCCAAAGGTGGGGATCTGCAGCTGGCTGCTAGCCAGGCTCTGCCCTAGGGAATGCACCGCGATCCGCGGGCAGAGGGCAGGGAAGGGCCTGGTTGCTTGTGCCAATCACCTGCTGGGCGGGCACATCCTGGCATCTCTGAGACTCACTACATTAGAGGGTAAATAGTAATAAATAGTAAATAGTAAACAGCTGGTCCCCTCCCTGTGTAAGGCTGAAGTCATCCAGCGAGAACTACGTCATCTGTCTGCCTGCTAGGAGCTTACATAATAATGTATGAGATTCATACATTAGACTCTAATACAGTTCTCTCTAAATAATTAGAGAATTGGATGTGAAAATTAAACCAGAAAAGGTTTAGAAGAAGATTAAAATGAATATACTTCCCTTACTTCATTGAAATTTCTACCAAACCAGCTAAGGCAGAAATTGAAAAAAGAAAAAAAAATCAATAGATTTAATTGACAACTTTAAAATCTATAAATAGACCAGTAGTCATGTTAGAAATTAATGGCCCAGTATATAAGCATGGAAATTAGATCTCAGCTACTTCCCAGCCCACAAGAATTGTAGTCCACACAGTCTGAATCCAAAGACGTTTTTAAAACCTTCAATATCAGCAGGTGAAGATAGGGAAGTTAGAAGTTCAAGGTCGTCTTTGGCTATACCGTCAGTTTGAGACGAGCTTGTACACAAGACTGCCAAAATAATAATTAGTAATAATAAAATAACAAAATAAGAATCTCTTCCCTTCCTTTCTTTGCCTGTCTTGTACTGGCTAAGTTGTTTGCCTCTAAAGGGACACACTGGCAGTGACAGTTGAGGTCTGTTGGGTTTTGATTGGCAGAAAACCCTACCCCCTGAGAAGCCAGGGGAACTAAACTAGGAAGGTGGAGTGAACAGGAGCCTCTGCTATTTGGGTAACTTCCAGTGCTTCCTTCTGCCAGCTGTTGGAGGGAAGACGCCGGAAGGAAAGCACCGACCGACCGTGTTCTGAGAACTGTGACCGGTAGTGAGGTGGGGTTAGAGAAGAATTTTGGGTTTTTTGTATTTTTTTTGAACATGGTCTCATTAAGTAGCTCTGGCTGTCTTGGACCTTGTTCTGTACACCAGGCTGAGTTTGAATTTACAGACATCCATATGCCTCTTCTTCCTGAATGCTAGGATTCAAGGCGTGTGCCACCACCATCCAGCACAAATTCAGTTTTTACTAGAAATATATTTGTAGTGGTAGGGATGCTGTCTGCAGAGTGAGTGAGGGCTTGAAGGAATGAAAGCAGGTTTCAGTGCAACCTTGAATAAACTGGGCTTTAGGTGGGCAGGAAGAGAGATGTCTGGGGAGATACTGCGAAAGGGTTTGATGACTGGACAGAGAAGGATCAGCAGCATAAGGGAAGCATTCAGGTTTTCTTTAGGAAATCAGAAGATGCTGGCCCCATTTGGTAAGGTAAAGATGATGGTGGAGGAAGGGTTTGGGAGAAAGGGTGCATCCAAGCTCAGATTTAACATGATCTAATTGAAAAGATAATGCCACATCAGTAGGGAGCTTCCAGGAAACATCCCTGATGGAAGGGATGATTTAAAGCCACTCAGTACAGTGAGCTTTGCTGTCAGAGGCCAGAGAGGAAGCTGCAGGACCTAAGATGGGGGTGGGGAGGGAAGAGAGAAGATGGGAGGTGGGAGAAATCCCTGGAGCAAAAGGCAACCAGGGAAGGATTGACACAAGAAAGTGTCTAAAGGGGAGAGAGTGTTGACTGCTCTCAGTTCCTTCAGAGTGCCGATTCCCAAGGGCCCTTCTGCTCTCCATCCACACATCTAGTGGGGCCATCTTGTGAAGAAAAGTTTCTAGTGCTAAAAAGCAAACAACAAAGCCTCATATTCAACCATCTATTAACTATTTGGAATAATATATTCATCAGAATTATACTATGCATCAAAATGAATTACCGATAGTTTAAAGAGCTAGATGTAAGAATCAAACCATAAAAAGTTAAGAAGAAAAATTAAATGATTATACTTCCTAATACATTGAACTTTTTGTAAAAGTAGTTATAGCAGAAATGGGGAAAATTCAATAAGTTTCATGATTTGACTATTTAAGACCTTTAAGTTACAAGTTCCATTCACAAATTCAAATGCAAATGTGATGATGTGGATGGGAAATGTTCCCTACATGCTCCTGTACTTGAATACTTGGTCCCCAGTTGGTAATGTTGTCTGGGAAAGTTACAGAGCCTCGAGAGGGTGGAGGAAGAATGGCACTAGGGGTGCGGGCTTTGTGCTTTTATAGCCTGGCCCCACTTGCTCTCCTCTCTTTCTGTTTCCTGTGTGCCGACATGATATGGTTTGCCAGCTTTCTGCTCTTGCTTTCTGTCCCATCTCTTCCCTGCCAAGATGGACTCCAGCCCTCTGGAAATGGAAGCCAAAGCAAACCCTTTCTTCTCAGAGTTCCTTTTTTTTTTTTTAAAGGTTTATTTATTGTTTACCTATATGAGTACACTGACACTGTCTTCAGACACACCAGAAGAGGACATCAGATCCCATTACAGATGGTTGTAAGCCATCATGTGGTTACTGGGAATTAAACTCAGGACCTCAGGAGAACAGACAACGCTCTTAAACACTGAACCATCTCTCCAGCCCCCCAGAGTTATTTTGGCCATGGTATTTTGTCACAGCAACAGAAAAGTCACTAATACAATAGCAAGTTACACTCAAGTGGATTAAAAGGAGAGAAATCTAGCTTTTAATTTTATGTAGATTTCAATTTTGAGCCTATTTTAAAGTTGTATTAGCTTTATAATTAAAAAGAAAATACTTTAGATACAAACCAGTAAAGTGATTCTAAGAATGCCACTAATATAAAATTTGAATAGTGTTGTTAAAAAGACTTACCAAATTGTTAAAAGGAGGTAGTATGGATATATAATCTAAAAACAGAACAGGCAGTTAATAATTCTATAAATAATAATTTACAGAATAAATACAGTTATTGATATATCTACAAAAGCCAAGCATAAAAGCAGAAACTTTTAAGTGAGTGGATAATTTTTTTTTCATTTTCTTTTTTCATTGGATATTTTATTTACATTTCAGATATGATACCCTTTCCCTGTTTCCCCCCACCCAGAACCCCCTATTCAATACCCTTTCCTCCTGTTTCTATGAGGATATGCCCTTACTCACCTACCCACTCCCACCTCCCCACCCACAAATTCCCCCACACTGGAGCATCCAGCCTTCACTGGACCAAGGACTTCTTCTCCCACCTATGTCCTACAATGCCATCCTCCCCTACCTGTACAACTGGAGCCATGGGTACCTCCCTATGTGGTCCCAGGCTGGTGGTTTAGACCCTGGGAGCTCTGGTTGGTTGGTATTGTTGCTCTCCCCATGGGGCCACAAACCCTTTCAGCTCCTTCAGTCTTCTCTCTCACTCCTCCATTGGGAACCCCATGATAAGTTCAATGGTTAGCTGTGAGCATCCACCTCTGTATACTTCAGGCCCTGGCAGACCTCTAAGGTGACAGCTGTATCAGGCTCCTGTCAGCATGCACTTCCTGGCATCCACATCAGCTTCTACTTTTGGTGACTGCACTCAGGATGGATACCCAGATGGGACAGTCTCCAGACAACCCCTCCGTCAGCTTCTTTCCCACACTTTGTCTTCATATTTGCTCCCATGAGTATTTTGTTACTCCTTCTAAGAAGGACAGAAGCACCCACACTTTGGTCTTCCTTCTTCATGAGCTTTATGTGGTCTGTGATTTCCATCTTGGGTATTGCAAGCTTTTGGACTAATATCCAATTATCAGTGAGTGTATATCATGTGTTGTTTTGTGATTGGGTTACCTCACTCAAGATGATATTTTCTAGTTCCATCCATTTCCCTAAGAATTCCTGGAATTTATTGTGTTTTTTTAAATATTTATTTATTTATTTTATTGATGAGTACACTGTAGCTGTCTTCAGATACACCAGAAGAGGGCATCAAATCTCATTATGGATGGTTGTGAGCCACCATGTGGTTGCTGGGATTTGAACTCAGGACCTCTGGAAGAGCAGTCAGTGCTCTTAACCGCTGAGCCATCTCTCCAGCCCCCTATTGTTTTTAATAGCTGAGTAATATTCCATTGTGTAAATGTGCCACATTTTCTGTATCCATTCCTTTGTTGAAGGACATCTGAGTTCTTTCCAGCTTCTGGCTGTTATAAATATGGCTGCTATGAACATAGTGGAGCATATGTGCTTGTTATATGTTGGAGAATCTTCTGGGTACATGCCCAGGAGTGGTATGGCTGGGTCCTCAGGTAATGCTATGTCCAACTTTCTGAGGAACCGCCAGACTGATTTCCAGAGTGTGTGTACTAGCTTTCAATCCCACCAACAATGGAGGAGTGTTCCTCTTTCTCCACATCATTGCCAGCATCTGCTGTCACCTAAGTTTTTGATCTTAGCCACTCTGACTGGTGTGAGGTGGGATCTCAGGGTTGTTTTGATTTGCAGTTCCCTGATGGCTAAGGATCTTGAACATTTCTTTAGATGCTTCTCGGACATTTGAATTTCCTCAGTTGAGAATTCTTTGTTTAGCTCTCTACCCAGTTTTTAATAGGGTTATTTGGTTGTCTGGAGTCTAATTTCTTGAGTTCTTTGGATATTAGCTCTCTATCAGATGTGGGATTGGTAAAAATCGTTTCCCAATCTGTTGGTTGCCATTTTG